CTCTCCTGGCAGATCATCGGCAGCGGCAACAGAAGATTTCTACTCCGGGAATCGATATCTGCGAGCTTCTCAACGCCCTTCCACTTGGGCTGCCCTGCGGGCAATTGCCGCAGCATGCAAGCCTCGGTGCCTCACGATTCCTTCGCGGCCTCCGACCGACTAGTGCCCTCCGGCCCGGATCCTCTGCATCATCGGATCAGAGTCCACAATTGAGGCGTTTTCTTCTTCTCTTCCTTCTGGGGATCTCATCTCCCTCGAGTAGCTGCAGCCTTTCTCTCTCGCCACGAGCGATCAGTTTTGGACAGAATGAGATGCTGCTCTCCATGGGTGTGATCAGGAAAAATCTTTGGCTTGTCCTTGGGAATTCGCTGCTCGTCCTTGAGGGGGAAGTTAATTCGGACTGTCGCGCAGGCAGCCACGATGTGTTAATATCTGTGTCCTTTTGGAGACGCTGTTGCTCATCAATGGCACCGAAATTTTCCCCAAGCAAGTTTCTTTCTTCTTCTCTCTCTTTCACGTCTTTGCAGGGAGCCGCAGTTTCTTTCAAGTGCGAGATCTCTTTTAGAGCCAAGCTCTTCAAGATCGTCGGGAAGGATATCATGCGTGATTCTTCACACTGTTGTGTGTCGCAGGGATTATAAGCGACACATGATCGTGATCTCAGTTGATCAAAGGTTGATCCTCCATCGACTTGGTTCTTTCAGGTACCTTGAATCCATTCATTATTTAATTAACGCAGGTATCTACCTAGAACAGAGAGTTTTTTGCTTTGCTGTAGAGAGAGTGTTTGTTGTTGTTCCTTTCCATTTGGACCTTGCGCTCACCAGTTTGTGCGCTCGTCAGTGGAGATAGATTATAAGATTAGCAGTAACCATCCATCCAGTCCTCTAGCTAGCGTTCCTAGCTCGATACTCGTGAGTTTTTCTCCTAATTCCCTCGTTTTTTCTCTCATGCTTTTGTGATTAGCCTTAAGTGTGTGTGTCTTTAGCTGTTTTATTCGTTGTCCGTTGGAATCCAAACGTGACAAACAGGGAGCGATAGAAAATCTATTCCCTTGATATTTGCCTGGTGCCTGCTAGCTGCTTAACAAACTCACTGTGCTACTCGCAGGCCAGGCATCATTCCTTGGTTGGATTGGAAAAATGAAAACCAAAGCTTGCCAACACTGATAGAGAAAGATGGAGCCAAAAAAAATGGAGAGAAAGGGATGGGCGTGTCCTTGTTAAAGGTACCAATCTAAACCAAGATCCCCGGTGTGGACCACGACGCGCAGTACTCTTATGATACCATGGGGTACTATACAGGAAATGCCATACGTCGGCATCTTGTAAGTAGATAAAAAGCTTTATATTCTTTCGCAGCGTTTGCGTGCGTATGTTGGTAAGCTGGGCTCCGTACGGCCGTGTTGGGCAAGGACACGACTATTTGAATACGTCCACATGGGCTATAAAAATACGAGAAGCATATCTTGTATTGATGAATCGAACAGGAGTATGCGTCTCCATTGTCCGTGCAGTGTTGTGATAGAATATATATCGCGGCTTATAACGTTGGAATTTCAAATAGTTCTTACAGAGTGGAGCTTGATCGCGAAGAATGCCGATCATGTTTCTTTTTTTGTTCTTGTTGTTTATTAGGGGAATCATGCGACTGTGATGGACTTTGGTCCGTGGATTCGCGCTCTTAGTTGTGATGACTGTTATGAGAAGTTTGCGTGACTTGAGAACCTCTAATGATGCTGCGGCAGCAAATCAAATGACTACGAAAACGGTGGCATGTAACGTACACTTGAGAGGGCGTGCCTTTCGGCTGTCGTGATAGATAGTACGTATTCGTGTTATTTTGGTCGAAGGGTCGTTTCTAGACATTACTTAGTGGCGCGGTAACAAAGGCTTTAAAGGTGATGGAGAACGTTTTGTTTGTTTGACGAGTCCGGGAATCCCTTTTATTCTCAACACAAGCTAGAAGATGAATGTCAACTTTCGAGTATCCTTCGAATGCTTTCGCTCAAATAAATAAAAGTAATAAAGCTGTTTTCTCCACATTTATTTATTTCTGATATGCTTAAGCAAACAAGTTGTGGATATACCTAGAATATGCTTGGATATTCTAGGACATTTTACCATCTAACGATTGTTATTTATTTAGATTGATTTTGTATTAATAATTTATAAACTTTCTTAAATACTTCCTAATGCATTCTAGTTTATTCTACCATCTAATGGTTCATATGTAATAAGATTAATCTTGTGTTTATAAATTATGAACATAGCAAGAGTTGCTACATGAAATGTGCAGAAAATTCTTATTTTTTATGTAGATCTTGGATTAAAAAATTACAAATACCTATGTTTTATAATAAGATATAAATAGTTTTATTTATGAAACATCTTTATTTTTTGAAGGAAGGGTAGATCCATGTTTTAGAGATTGTTAATTTCTCTAGAAATTTATATATTTTCAAGGAAAATGGTTTTTCAGGTCCATAAAAATAAAAAATGTTATTATAAATAAAATAATTGGGTATTTAAAGGTTTCTTTAAATATATTACTGATAAATTGTTTGCTATGGCTTTGAGTTTCATTTCAGTCATGGTTATTAGAAACTTTGTTAATGGTTTTATGAGAGCTTCAGATTTTTATGGATCTACATGTATATAAAACTATTTTATCATGGAAAATTCTATATAATAGTTTTATAGAAAAATAATTCTTATTTTATATCAGAAAATAAAATAAAATTCAAGATTGAATTCCCATATTTAGTTCTAATGTTCTTGACCTATATGATACAAGATAGATGGCATTTTTGCAAGGTAACTATACATAGTTTCAGGTATTTGTTTTCTTTGTCTTCTGGGTGAAGATATCTTTTGCAAGGTAACTATACATAGTTTCAGGTATTTGTTTTCTTTGTCTTCTGGGTGAAGATATCTCTGTGCTAGTTAAGATAAAAATAATGTGGCTGCTGGGATTCGAGCCCAGGTCTCCACGGCCACAACGTGGAATTCTTACCACTAAACTACAGCCACATGACTTGTCAATCATAGTCTAATCTTAGTAAAGTAAATTAGAACCATCAACGTTAACATTGTGGTTTAATTTGAATTAAAAGACGAGGGTTTTAGCTTCTATAGGCGAGAGAATGGATCTTGGCGCCACGATAGAAGCGCTCGAGGAGGCGAAGGGAAGGCATAAAATTCTGGAATGCCGTGCAGTGGTGCACCGGATCCACGGCGTCGCAAGGCATCTCCGCATGGATTACTCTCTCTTCGATCTCGGCTGCGGCAAAGATGGGAGCTTCCTCCACGCCGCGCCTTGTTGCAATCCATCATGCAGGAGCGATCGAATGCTCCGGCTTCCAGATCGCCGTCTACTGCGGCGAAATCTGCCGAGAAATCCACGCCAGGGCTCATCGCCGCGCGTGTGGCAACGCATCGGGGCGCCGAACCGGCTGCCCTGTGGTGAAGCCCTCGATTTTCCTCTGGGCCAATGTCCCGGCACATTGCCTGATTGATCCAGCGGAGATCTCTCGCAGCGGCGACTGCGTGGTGGAGCTCTGCATTGCGGCCTCGGGAGATCTTCGCGATCTCTTCCACACCATGGCCAAGTTCCCGGGCGACTTCACTGGTAAGAACTATAGGTAGAAAGAGCTTCCTTTGCTTCTTTCTTCTTTTTCTTCTTCGTCTAGGCCTAATTGCTTCTTCCGGTCGTTTAGACGCGAAAGGCTAGTCTTTTTTCTTCTTTCTTTTGTTTCTTTCGTCCTGGTTTGCAACGCTCTTTAGTTTCTCTGGGTTTCTTCTTCGTCTTTGCTTCTCCGGTCGTTTAGACACAGAAGGCTAGACTTTTTTCTTCTTCCTTTGATTTGCACTCCTTCGTCCTGGTTTACAGCGCTCTATAGTTTTCATACTTTTCTCCGTTCCTCATTTTATCTTCTAGTTGGTTTTGCTTTTTCTTCTTCAGAAAACTAGAACGAGGATTATACTTACATAGCTTGTTTCTACATTTCAGGGAAGAAAATCATCGTCCTCGTCAACGATTACAACAGCCAAGTTGTAGCCCGGAACTTTATGATCCTGGAGATGCTTCGTGTGCATGGCGATGCTCTCTGGTATTCATTCGTGATGACCGAGCCTCAAAACCTGGCTTGCAAGGCCGCGGCCTACGACGCTCTCGAGCGGTGTGGATACTTGTCGCGCTCGGCCAGCCAGATCGTTCGCATGGGCCTCTTCTCGGACCAAACCGGACCTGTGCTGGAAGCGGCCTTTTCCACCTCGGGCTCACGCTCCAAGCTTTCTATCGAGATGGAGGACAGCTCTTGGGGATTAATCATGGCCTATGTCATCGCAGAACTCAAGCCACGCGACGTGGAGATCGCGAGGGAGAAATCCATGACCGACTTCCGTGAGAGCTTTGCCTACAGCACTGGGAAGCTCCTCCCGTTTTCCTGCATCAGCAACGAGCTGCGCTTCTCCAGCGGCAACAACTTCTTACTCGACGAAGCTGGCTGCTGGACGCAGATGAGCTCTGCGGATCCAATGCTCGGCTGGGACTTCGCGGAGGTGATGAGCTCAGGACGGGAAGCCGGGGCCGGATCCAAGGACTTGTATGGATCGCTCTTCTTCCACCTCAAGAAGCTCATGGAAAGGTTCCTGTCCCGCGGATTTCTCGAGCAAGAAGGAAATGGAGCACCATCTCGGTAGCATGAACACCTTCCTGGATCGCTCCATCGAGTGGGTGCGCAAGAAGGCTTGAAAATCGATCGAATCCATCGGTAACTTGAATCGACCCAGTCGCTACTTTCGTTTCATCCTTTTGGTTTCTAATCCTTTGTGCTTTTCAGGAAAAAGTGCCTCATCTTTTTGGCTAATCATCAGGAAAAACGGATGATTGTTAAAACAAAAAAGACAAAGAACGTACATTCTCAGAAAATTCGCGTCGCTCGCGTCATTAGTTTCAGACTTCCACGTGGACGAATCGAGGCGGGCATATTCTTTACGTTTGAAATGAGAACCCCTAACAGAGCATATCCACTTTGATGCGCGTGGGTAGGAAGGATCGATCATGGATGCCGATGAGCGTGCAGCAGCAGCGGCGGCGGCAGCAGCAGCAGCGGCGGCGGCAGCAGCAGCAGCAGCCGCCATTCCTAATCCAGCTCCAGAACCGGGCGGTGATTTAGAGAGATCGTCTAGCGAAAATCTCGAGGTCTGTGCTTCCCCCCTTTTGTTTTCTCTCTTTCTCTCCCGATTGGATCGATCGAGAGCTTGCTGCTTCCCAGTCTGCATGCTCTCGTGGCTAGATTGCGTCGGCTGCGGGCCCGATTTTCGCCGATGGGGTTTCTGTGCATGTTTAGGGCGCCATTGTTCTAACTTTCTTCTTTGTTTATTTTTTTCTCCTTTGTTCTAGGACTCACGCTTGAATTTGGAGATGCGTAGTCTCTTGACCTCTGAATTTACCAAGGATGGCTCCGTGGATTTGCTTGGAAGGCCATCGGTCCGCCGAAAAACCGGTGGATGGAGAGCCTGTCCATTTATTCTTGGTATGCTCGTTCTTACATGTAGCAAAAACTATCTCCCTCTTGTTTTTTCTACTGTTTAACAGGAAACGAATGTAGCGAAAGATTAGCATTCTATGGCATCAACACCAACTTGGTGACTTATTTGATCAAAGAATATCACCAGGGCAATGCAATCGCTGCGAAGAACGTGACAATCTGGTCAGGCACCGGGTACGTAACTCCCATTCTCGGAGCTTTTCTAGCTGATGCCTACTGGGGACGCTACCGCACCATTGCAGTCTTTTCATGCTTATACTTGGTGGTGAGTTTTGGTTTTAGTTTTTCTCTTTTGAAATAGATGTTTTGCTGTTTTTGCTTGCAGGGATTGATACTTCTTACGTTGTCAGCCTCATTACCTTCATTGAAACCTCCATCCTGTGACAAGATGTCTTGTCAACATGCCTCGCTGGGGCAGCTTATATTCTTTTACGTGTCACTCTATTTTGTGGCTTTAGGAATGGGAGGTATCAAGCCTTGTATCTCGGCGTTTGGTGCCGACCAATTCGACAACAGTGACCCCGTAGAGAGGAAGAACAAGGGCCATTTTTTCAACTGGTTTTACTTGTCAATCAACGTTGGAGGACTTGTTGCAACTACGTGCCTTGTTTATATCCAGGACAACACCAGCTGGGCCTTGGGATTTGGCATCCCGGCCGCGTGCATGGCCGTTTCTATCGGTTCCTTCCTCCTGGGATCTCCGCTCTATCGCCACCAGAGACCACAAGGAAGTCCACTCGTGAGAGTGGCACAGGTTCTCGTTGCTGCATTTCGAAAGTGCTTCGTGCAAGTTCCAGCTGACAAGGAGCTATTACACGGTAGCAAAGAGAGTAATGGATCTAGCATCAGCGGCAGCTTCAGGCAAGTTTACTTTAAAACTCTTGTGAACTCTGGGCTGCTTTCTTGGAAGTGATCCTGACAAGATCGCTGTGCATTTGATAAGCTTAGCTTGCCATGACAAGGAGCAGAGAAAGCTTCCAAGATACTCAAGGTCCGGCTGAAGGGACTGTAGACTAGTCACAAGTTTTTTCTTTCTCTAACGAGCTTGGGACTGATGGTTTACATGCAGGTTCCTTGACAAAGCAGCAGTGAACACCGGCTCGAAGAAAGGAACTTTACCGGGACCCTGGAAGCTATGCCCCGTATCGCAGGTGGACGAAGTGAAAACTCTCCTGAGGATACTTCCGATCTGGGCGACACTGATTATCTTCACGACAGTCTACTCACAGATCTCGACCACTTTCATCGAGCAGGGATCCAGAATGGACACCAACATTCTGGGATTCAAAATCTCTCCAGCATCCATGTCTACGTTCGAGATTCTCACCGTCATCCTCATGGTTCCCATCTACGACCGGATCCTCATCAAGCTGGCTCGCAGAGTTTCTGGCCATCCTCAAGGATTTACGCAGCTCCAGAGAATGGGTATAGGCCTGGCGATTGGTATACTCTCCATGGTGGTGGCCTCGGCCACGGAGAGCAAGAGGCTGGAGCTAGCGAGAACGCACAAGCTGGTGGACGACGCTGTTAAGCCAGTTCCGATGACCGTCGTTTGGCAGCTCCCACAGATCGTCATACTGGGAATCGCCGAGACTTTCACGTACATTGGTCAGCTGGAATTCTTCTACGAGCAGGCCCCAGATTCGATGAGAAGCTTGGGAACAGCAGTGGCGCTCACGACATTTGGACTCGGGAATTATCTCAATGGGTTTCTGATCATGGTGGTGAGCAGGGTGACGAGCAATGGTGGCAGTAGCCCCGGATGGATCCCGGACAACTTAAACCTCGGCCACCTCAACTTCTACTATGATCTTCTGGCGTTCCTGAGCGCGTGCAACTTGGTGTGGTATTTGATCTTTGCGAAGGCTTTCAAGTACAGAGAAAGCAGTGGCAGGACTTCGTGCTTGTTGCACTAATAATGAAGATATTGAAGTGTTAATTCCTAAAGATATTCTCCTTTTTATGCTGTTTTGACTCATAAATCCATCTCTTTCGTTCTGTAGCAAACTAAGCCATAGGAGTATAAATGCGTTGCACAGTCAGTTGCGTTCTTAAACATTATCTTTTAGGATACCACAGACTTACGTTTAGGTAATCCATTTAACCCCAAACAATCAAGTTGTGATGTTGTTGCATGAAAAACTAACTTGGAGTGGATGATGCCTTGGCTGTGTATGCTACTCGAATGGTGCCACTATAACTCTCTACAATGGATCCCCTCTAGTTTGTAGCTTTGCTAATTTTGTTTAGGCAAGAGTATTACATGTTTGTTTTTTTCTTGAGCTATCTTTTAACAAGACTCAGATGTAACAACGCTAGGAGTTGTAGTCAGACATTGGAAGACGTTTGAAATAGGTACACTGACCCTGAGAGTGTCGAAGACTTTGGAGGCCACAACCAATTGGGTGTTCAAGGTATGTGTATAGAAAAGAGTGGATTACTTCTACAAGATGTACCAGGGCCAGAGGTACTGAGTTGATTGCACCAAACTTGCGTTCTTTCTATATATGTAACATATCAAAGTATGCAGGGAAAAAGAGTAGACTAAGGCAACTCACAAAGGATGTTTGTTAGGACTTAGTGCTAAAACACAAGACTCCTCTTGAGGTTCTTCACCACTCAACCACCTCCAAATTACCTCAAAAACTCCACTTCCATTTACCCTTGAGCTTCCTTTTGACCTATGTTGACCACGTGGTCAAACCTGGTGCCTCCTGCAAAACAAAGTCATTGTCTCAAAGATGAGTTGTACTAGTGATCATACTTTTTGGGGAACTTTTCTCAAATTTTTAATCCATCTTCCACAACCATATATATTAAGGAGGCATTGGGTTTTTTACTTTAAGATAGTGCATCTTTCAATTGGCTAATATAAAATACCAAATGAATTTTCACCTTAGCTGGCAATTGTATTCAATAAGCTGTTTTGCCAATTTGCTCCAACACTTCATATGGACCATATTTACAAGAAAGCTTATCACTTTTCCCATTTTGCAAAGGTACTAATATGTTTTGCCACTCACTTGGACAAAAAAATCACTTACACAAAGATGATATGACTTACCTTATATTCCCAGAATTGATGATGCTCAATAGGAAATTCTCTAAACTTTATGAGTTTGATTATAGTATTATAATATGATGATATCCACTCCTTAAATCAATCTTGATAAACACTCATGCTTCACCAAACTTATCTAAATATCATTCTTATGCAATAATCTTTCATTGTCTTTTTGTTCAACACATAATAGTTAATACACATCTTTATTGAATTGTCCTTCTTCCTCACAAATAAGACTGGGGTATCAATATCATCAGGCATTAAATCTCTAATTGTTATTTCTCTTTGTAGCACATGTGATCATGGGATGAAATTTAAATATACTGTTACTGTGGATCATTAGAACTTTAGGGAATAAATGGGGATAAAATAACCACTAAAGGCTCTCTTATTAAGTAGTTGCCCCTTTTTCAGTTGGCTTAAGGAGAGAAAGATAGAGTGCAGTACACCCTTGTTGGAAATATTGAAGTTTTATGCAAGTATTCTCCACAGCGTAGTGAGGGGCAAAATATAAACAAAAAACAGCCTCAAACTTATCCATGGTAGACACTAGTGGTTTCTTGTTTACAACACAAAACTCCTCAAGTTAATTCCACCATCAAAGATATATATAATGCAAAACCATTAGAATAGCCATTAAAACCTCTTTTTATTGTTTATATTGTTAGTGTGATATTTTCCAACACGTAAGTTGGATTTTAAGTGCATTTTAGATGCCATAGGCTAATCTAGAGTTTCTTTAACAGCCAAGAACTTCTTCACATTGGCTAACTAGGCCAGACACTCATCTTTACCACTATCATTGGAAAAAGTTAGAATCTTGAGTTGATCCACTAAGGAAGTCTTACTTGGAGCATCACCACATCTAGCCTTAACTGCTTTAATATCCATACATGGTATCCATCATACCATGCATCTCGTCTTGCATCTTTTGTTGATTTTGATTAAGAGCTCATAACTCATGAACAACATCTTAAATAGTCTAAATGAACGTGGACCATACTTGAGCTCATGAGTTGAAGAGTTGAGTTCGTGAGTTGAGTTCGTAAGTTGAGCTCAAGTTTTAATTATAGTTTAATACAAACATTATAAACTTTAAAATATTAAGGTTATTGTGAACTTAATAATTTTATAACTCTCTACACATTATATAGATAAAAATGTTTGAAAGGACACTTCTTGTTCTAACAATTTAAATATTTATTACATGTCATAATAGGGATATTTGTTAGAACATAAAATACGATGTTTGTAGAAAAAGTATCCTTGTCACTTCCTTAAATCTGTACTCTATTAGTAAATATCAGGTTTATCAGAATTAAAAAATTATTAAATTTGAAATAAAATTCTATGTAAAGCCATATAACCGTTTGAAATGAAAAACAAACAACCATTGATGTAAGCTTATTTCATATAAAAAAAAGACTTAGTTATTTTTTAGAATACATTCTTGAGGGGTTTGTTATAGTATACTGTCTAAAATTTATGGATTTTCATTTGCACTCTCATTCAAAGAGAGGAAAATACATACAAATATCTGGGGGTTCTAATGTTGGTAATTTAATTCTCACTATCTTTCTTCCTAGGGTTTAAAGGCTAGAAGATATAATAGCTATCCCATTGCACAATATAACCAAACCACACAAAAGAAAGTGTTTTCAAGCCGCTTCATATGATTGGCATCAGTGTTGCAACAATACAACCAACACCATCTCAAAATCTTGCTTGCTTTTGTTCCTTGTAGAAACATAGGGTTGGAATAGAAGCAAATTTATCACCATGAATTTAGGCCCAACACTTACCCTTCAAAAACATTCTTACACACCTTATATTAGATTTTGCTGGCATGTGGCAAATTGCCCATTATTTTGGCTCCACACTATAGTAAGTGATTTCAACTTATTGTGATACACTCTTTTCATTAACCATTTGAGGTGGTTTGGTCTGAGAGCAGTGTCTTAGTTAGAGCAAAATGGTACTTAATATCAAGCTTGTGAGAGTTTTTTGCTCCAAGATCCACCAACAAAGGAAAAACGACAATGGATAGTCTTTATATCACCAATAGAAGCATGGGGAATATACTCTATAGATGTGCCACAGACCACTTCCTCAATTGCAGTTGCCACTGTTCGAGTGGGTGAAATTAATTTTCTCTTCATTCTATTATGTAACATATCAATAGAAGACCCTTTTTCCATGTATCTTCCTTCCTTGAATACTAATGTTTTTGAAAACTACTTTATAGTGTGTATCAAATCTAATAGACAAGCTTTGTATAGACTTATCTTCCCTTTCCCTACCTTAGAGGAATGCTAACTCTAGTGCTTACTTTCTAAGAGATTCACAGTTAAGGTGTATAGGAGATCCTTAAGTGGTTGATCATAATGGAAAAAGCATGATCATCATATTAAGAGGCAATAAAATGAGAAAAAAAATAGAAATCAATATGAAAAGATTGATGTCCTCATTAGAATGTCTTAACTTCCCACCAACTTAACCACGACTTAAGTTGTGATAGACAACTTACATACATATGGCCATCTTCATGCTACCACATTTAGATCTTGTTTTATTTTGCCTCATGGTTTTCTTTAAAAGGTGTAGCCTACCATTGTTTACACAACTCCTTAAACATTAATTAAAACTCTAGTTTGATAAGTTGGCAATGTTGGTTTAAGCTTTAAGCCTAATGGAACTCATAGCAAACTTTTGTGGTTTCATGGCAGATGGGGCTAGTGTAAATTAGAATGGTGTCTAAGCAATTTTTGGAAAGGGTTAGATATTAGAAGGTTGTAAAAGGACTAGGCTTACCAGTTTGCTTTAGTACAATATTGAAAAGGGACATCCAAAATATTTCCTAGGCTGTTTGGTCTTATACTTTAAACTCTACTATTGTAATTGTTAAGTTATAATGTAGCCTGTGAAAACATAAATATTACAACAATTTCAATATAATAAGAATAAAAATTGCCTTGGATCATACACATAATCTCCCATAGTTGTCCAACCTGATATGTGTTTCATATGGTCAAAATATACCTATGCATTTGCAAGGTTATTGGATCCAAATATGTCTATTTGGGAGACAAGATTTACACTAAAGGCAAGGCCCATTAAGCTCTATTTCGTTAAAGTGGGATTTATTCAGTAAAATGGGACTAAGTACAAATTTTCAAGTATTTGAAAATGACGTGAAATTATATGCTTTTTGTCCAGGGGCTAGACATATCTGGGGCATGGTGACTAGCGCGGTGACTTTGTGTCCAGACTGAGTCCATCTGGTTGTATAATAAATCTCATTGTCAAGGTGAACAAGCCGAATCTGAAGCTAAAGAAGAGCGATGGCATGCACGCACACACTATTTGTTTGTTCATTGAGCGTGTGGTGAGCTTTCCAAGATGAACATCATTCCTATTAGCCAGACATATAACTTAATGGTGAGAACATTTAGATATTATTCAATGTTATCTTTTTCTAACGAATCTAATTGTGAAGGTGTAGCAAGAGGCATTGCTAGTCTGGAGAAGTCATTTAACTCATTTGACCCTTAGTGTATTTTCATGAAACTAAATAACATTCATATTATTAAGGAATTTCTCTAGTACCTTTTTTTTACGACATAGAGGCTTGCATTTCTTTCAAAGGTGATTTAGTAAAAGGCCTAAGGGCACATGCCATTCTATTTCTCAGACCGGTATTAAGATATACTAGTGCAAAGGGAAAAAGGTATTTGGTGATCAGGTAAATGGCATGAGGGCACATGCCATTATAAGCTTAAGCACTAGTGGACACCTCCTTTTTGGTACTCTCAGCGGTACTATCATCCTTCTCTGGGTCAATTGTTTTGCTTTGGATTGTTGTCTCTAACGTTACTAGGGCGTTCTCGATAGTTGTTAATGTTGCCATTTGTTCAGAAAAATGATCACCTGGAGTATAG